TTTTTTTTAGACGATTTTATTATTCCTGGTGTAATCCAGGGGTTTATAAATGTTTTAGTTTTAATAATTTTTGTTACCACCGGGAAAGCTTTATCATAATGATCTTTGAATATCCGAAGAAAACTGTTATAAGCAGTCTCTGCAGTTTGAATTTGTAAAATATCGTCCCAGTTTTCAGAAAATAAAGAATTATTAAAAAGTTCCATAGAAATGTCATTATATACTCGATTTGTAATGAATATTTTTTTGTGAGGGGTGTGTTCGACACTTTTATGTGCAATTATAAATATTGGGAAATGATCCGATATATCGGATATTATTATTCCAGTTTTTATTTTGTTTTTTGTATATTCATTAATTATTATTTGATCGATTGAAGTTGCGCTATTTCTAGTAATTCGTTTTGGTTTATTTATAGTTGGAATAAATCCATTTTGAAATATGATGTTCATAAAATTTTTAACATTTTTATTTGTGTCGTAATCAAGCACATTAAAATTAAAATCTCCCACAAAGAAGACACGTTTGTCACATAAAACTTTGCTTTTAATTACTTTTTTAAAGTGTTTTTCAAAAAATTTATTATTGCCAGATGGCGGTCTGTACACGACATGTATAATAACGTTTTTTGTGACTTTATTTAAAATTTCGATCGTTAAAGATTCACAATCATTACTAATTACACTAAACTCGGTTAGCGGTTTATAATTTAAAGAATTATGGATAAAAATACATACTCCTCCACCTATTGTCTCAGAGTTTCTGAGTTAATGAATAACTGTATAGTTTTTTAGTTGATAATTTGAACCTTTTTCAATTTGTTTATCTCGACACCAGGTCTCTGTGAGACAAATAATTTTAAAATTAATTTCAAGACCAAACAAAAAATCTTTAAATTTATCAAAATTTTTACGAAAGCTCCTAATATTTAGGTGTAAAATAGAGAATGCATTAATATCCAAATTTGCAGTAACATTAGAAATATCTGAATTATAATAAGAAGGACATATATTTTTAATGATTTCATCAGTGTTAAAAAAATTAACATCTGGATCTGAATTATTCTCTAAAAGTATATTTTTATTTGTTTGGAAAGCCTTAAAGCTTAAATCATGAAATTTTATATCTTCCATAACAACACAAAAGGTTATACTAACAAAATATATAGAGTATAAAATAAGTAAAGGTTTGAAGGTAATTTCCTGAATTCTTTTACTATTAATTTATCGTAAATTACAACCGAAAACATACCATTTTTCCTATGTATCTTCATTTGCTCGAATAGTTTTTTCCTGATAGATGCAGTTTCCAAAGAATAATCCTCGTTGATATATATTCCCGATCCTTTTAATTTACTCGCACTTTTTAAAACTTGTACTTTGTCTTTGTAATTTAACAGTTTCATTACTATTGATCTTGGTCTACCTGCTTCAATTTTTCCTGACCTGTGCGCCCGTTCAATAACAATTCCTTTTAAATTAAGTTTTTCTTCAAAAATATTTAGTACCTTTAGTTCGGTTTCATCCCAATTTTCTTTTTCATTTTCCGATAATCCCTCTATTCTAAGATTATTCCTTCTTTGTCTATTTTCAAGCTGTCTTAGTTTATTATCTTCCGTATCTCTGCTTGCTGATTTTGATATAATTTTTTTTTCTAATTCGAGATTTTTTTTTTCTTGTATGTCTTGTGTAAAGTTTAGACTATCTTCTATATCTTTTTGCACATTTTCATTTTTTTTAATCTTTTAAACGTAGTTTTTTTGTTCCTCTTTAATTAATGTGTTTTCTTTTTGGAGTGTCGCACACAACTCTTTTATATTTGTTATTTCTTTCAACAAACCATCAATTTTGTCGTTTGTTAATTTCAAATTTCCGCTTATTAGTTTTAGAATATCATTACCCGGAGGATTTCGTGCAATTCCGGAAAAACAACATTCTTTCGTAAGGAGATTGAGAACACGAAATTACATTTTTTCGTACCGAATGTTACAAAACATTTAAAATCGCCGATGTTCATTTCGCAAAAGCCACTTCCAAAATTTAGCATTTCGCAAGTTGACATACGAAACAAAACTATTTTGCAACTATTTTACGAAAGTAGCGGTTTCGGAAGTCGCACTTGCGAAACAAACATTTTCCCCAAACGACGTTTTGAAGTCTATAAAGAAAATTTGTTTGCCAGATTGATTTTAATTGTAAAAATAACCATCTTCAAATCCCAAAATGTTTATAATGAAATTTTCTTTTCAGTATAATAACTATTAAATTTTTATGGTTTTATTTTTAGAAATATTGATAAAAAATAAAATTTCTTTCGGAACGAAAGTATTTCGGATCACAACATACGAAAGAATTCTTAATGGAAATAAACTTACGAAACGTGCCATAATAAATATATACAACGATGTTTTTTGAACTCATTACGTATATTAAAAATAAGAATGATGGGTAGGAATATACATGTTTTTTTTTTTAAAGCATATGAAATTTTTGAAACAGGTTCGAATATGCTTAAGCAAATAGTAAAAAGAGGCTCAAAAATATGCTTTAGCTTAAGCATATTTCTGATAAAATATACCTATTTCAATGATTTTTAAAAGTGTGCACGTTACTAAAGTTCTTGCAGTTTTTAAAGGTATGTAGAGTCCTGTTTGAATACGCTTTTTGAAGTATAGATCTTAGAAAATATTGTTTTTTAATTTTAATAAGATATAAATTTGAGTATAAGATTGTATAGTTCAATCAGTTAGATACGTGATAATTCGCCGCAGAGATCCGGGTTCGCATCCCGCAGCCATTGTAACTTTTGTTCATCAAACTCTTTTTACTTAAAATAGCGTTTTTTGACCTCCATGTTCTATATTACAGATCTTTCGTCACCTTCACAATAGTGACAACCTCTCTTCTGTTAGTTATTCTTTTAAGATTGAGTTCATTGTGCTTAATTCAAAAAGTCTTCCTTGCTTTATTAAGTTCTACTTAAATTATGATGAAGTGTACGTAAAACAACTTTTTCAAATAATATAATTCATTTTGCTTTAAATCTTTTGCTTTTTGTACTAGACATCTGTCCTAAAAACTTTGTTATAACTTCCAGCTAACTCTTAGTCTAATATAACTATTTCTGAATGTAATTTCCCTGAGGCTCCTACAGCCTATTGTGTTCCATTAAAAGTAACTAGTTTTTGAGTCCAAATATTAATTATAAGCATCTAAAGGTTCACATTACTATTCATTTTCCTGATATATAGAATCCTATTTGCATACGTATCTCTTTCTGTAAATTCTGTATTATATTGTTTCTTAATTATATATTAAATAAATATAACTATTCACTTAGTTGAATGAACGTATACCTCATTCAGTTAAGACATTTGGCCGCGTAGACCCAGGTTCACATCTCGCTATTTCACACATATTTCTTCTCTTTTTACTCTTTCTGTTATCATTTACCTTTAGAGAGATCTCTCGCTCTTTATAATAAAGTATTTAATTGTTTATCACAAATCCTCTTTATACTTTTTAAAAAGAAAGGCATACTGTTTATCTGTTCATTAAGAGTCCAACTTAACGGGATTTTATTGTATATATATATGTATATATTTATATATATATATATATATATATATATATATATATATATATATATATATATATATATATATATATATATATATATATATATATATATATATATATATATATATATATATATATATATATATATATATACATATATATATATATATATATATATATTATATATATATATATATATATATATATATATATATATATATATATATATATATATATATATATATATATATATACATATATATATATATATATTTATATATATATATATAAATATATATATATATATATATATATATATATATATATATATATATATATATATATATATATATATATATATATATATATATATATATATATATATATATATATATATATATATATTAAGTTTGTTTTTTATATAAAATATGTTTATATATATTTTATATATATATATATATGTTTTTATTGATAATACTTATTTTATATTCATATAATATTAAATTAATAAAGCTAAATATACTAACATACATAGTAAAACTATTTAGTCAAATTCTATTGAAAAAACTTACTAAAAAAACTGTATGAAAAATTCAAGCAAAGTCTACATTTATGAATTATTACCGTCATAAAAAAATATCTATTTAATATTTATCTAGCCATGTGATATTGTTAACTTGTCAAATTCAAACCTTACAAAAGGGCAACAGTAGGCATTATAAATAACTAATAAAGTCACACTTGCTTATTTGAGTTCTTAAAGTGCAATACGAATGGTCGAACTCGTCATATAGATGTTGAATTAATGTGGAATTAACGTCAATATTAATTGATAGTTTTAAACAAATTTTGATGTTGATAATGTTGATACAATGTTGATAGTTAGTTTTATGTCGTCGCGACTAAAAATCAACCGCAAATCAACCTCAAAATAACATGTTCCCACTAGGATATAAACAATATAAAGGAGAAAAATAAGAGTTTAAAACAACTGCATTTAAAAAATGGTAAAAACGTGGAAAAGTGAGGTTATTAAATAAAATATTGATATAATTGCTATATTTCTACTTTCATCATCAACTCCATTATCTTTATTTGATTTCATTAAATTTACAGAATTAAACAGTTTTTTTCAGATCATTGATTAATTTTTATAAAATCATTATTAGAGGTTATTTATGATGTGAAGCTAGTTTTACTGTTCTATACTTTTTAAGCTAATCTTGGGCCGTAGTAAAAAAATTATCATTATTTTCACAAAGATATATATATAAATATATATATACACATATACATTATGTTATAATATATTATTATATTATATTTTTTATATATACATACATACATACATACCAGGGGCGGATCCAGCATTTTGTAGACTTTGAAATAGCTAACTCCCAGAAATGGAGCTAACTCCAAACATTTATATGTATATACTTCATTAGTCAAATAAGGATGCTTTGCATAAAATTGCGATGATTGGAGCTTGGAAACAAAAAAGCTCCTGAGTTTTTGGCCCCCTGCCCCGAACGTGACAGCAACAAGTTGATCAAATATTTTTTGTTCTATTCTCAACTATTCTTATATTTATAGGTAAATTTTAAGTTTCATAGAATTATTTCTCAGCTTTAAAAAATTATGATCATATAAAATTTGCAGCCCCTCAAATTTAGGAGGTTTAAACTTTATATGGTCATAATTTTTGAACACTAAAATATTTCACTATAAAATTTAAAATCTATCGATGAATATAAGTCTAGTTGAAAATAATACAACAATTATTTCATCAACTTGTTGCACTCACGTTTGTGGCAGGAGGGCCAAAAATTTAGAGGCTTTTTGTTTCCAAGCTCTAACCATTGCAATTTTTTGCAAAGCATCCCTACTTGACATAAGTATAAACATATAAATATTTAGGGTTTGCTCTGGAAGTCTGAAAGTTAGCTATCTCGAAGACCAAAGAATGCTGAATCTGCCGCTGTTATATACATAGATTAAAAACAGTATAAATATACAAAAATACTAGCTTGTGTGTATGTAACTTAAACTCTTATTGGTTTTTTTTTTTAACAAAGGTAAAGATGGTTCTTGTAGCATGGTCTTACGAGATAGTGATCTTGAAAAATATCTAGGAGTTGATTACTTGAATATAATTTACAAGCTACGAAATGAAAAAGTATTTTACGATACTTTGAATTCAAAGCGAAACCAACTCTATGACTCGACCTACTTGAATATCAGCGTACTCGTAAAGGAAGCTAAGAAAGAGCACTTATTAGAAGAGAATTTTGTTAAAAATTTAAATAATAATAAAATTGATGAAATTAAAGCTTTTCTCGGCGAGAGAAATATAGGTTCTACAAACACCGTAATTACGTCGCGTACTATTTGTCTAATAGACGCTACAGGCTCAATGGGTGATTTGTTAAACAAAGCTAAGGTTACTGTTGGTACCATGTTTGAGCGGGCTGCGGCTATTTTAAATGAGAATTCAATTGCAGCAGACTCATTTCAAATGCAATTTGCAGTTTATCGAGATTACGATTGCTTGAGTGATGGAATTTTACAGTACTCGCCCTGGGAAACAAAACCCGAAAATTTAAGGCTGTTTATGGATAAAATTTCAGCATATGGTGGCGGTGATTACGAAGAAGCAATTGAAATAGGCTTGTGGCATGTTGATAGAGAAAACAAAGAGAGCGCAGTTAATCAAGTCATACTGATTGGTGATGCACCTGCAAAATCAAAAACTCAAATTAATGAATATCAAAATGTAAAAGGGGAAATATATTGGCAAAAAACTGATTTCAAGGTTCCAACTTTCTATAAAATCGAAGTGGAAAAACTAAAAAAAATTGGAATAGTGGTTCATACCTTTTACCTCCACGACGGAGCAAAGTCAAACTTCCAAGAAATTGCAAAAGAAACTGGTGGGTTATGCGAACCACTAAACATTGATTCGTTGGACGGGGCAAATACTCTAACAGACATTGTTACTCGTCGCATTTTAGGTAACGTTGGTCAACTAAGTGGGAAAGGAAATGAGTTGGTAAACGCATATAATAAAAGATTTGTTAAGTCATATAAATAATTTATGTGATTTATAAATAACTCTTAACATTTTTTATTTTTAACATTATGAGTGTTTTATGTTTAAATTTTATTGCTATATCAAGCTATATAGTTTTAGCATAACCAAGTTATTTAGTTTAGGTTTTATAAATTTTTTATTTATATAGTGCTGCCTTATGAAATCAAATAATATTTTTAAAAAACAACAAATTTTAGTTCACCGACCGTTATATAAAATATTGCACTTTTTGTTAATACAATTTTAATTTTAAAATCTATAAAATAAAAAGGTGTTGTTTTTGAAAAATGTAATGTCTCAAATTGTCGAGAAATGATTTAAAATTTGCTTATGAAGAACATTTGAAATGTTATTCAGGTTTACTACGTTTCGTATACAAAATCATTTCTGCACTTCATCTTTGGAAATATAATATGCATAGTAATTAATTAGTCTATCAGTTCGTTTAGTTTGTTGCCAAATTTAATACCTTGATATTCTCAAATATGTCTTGAAAATTTATTTATTGCAAACAAATTTTTTAAGTTAAAAATTTATTTTTTCTCCGGAACATCGTAGGAGTTGCTTAACAATGTAGCCTACTTGCTTGAATTTTTAAGTAATTAAAGATTACATTTGACCTTCTTAGTCCACCGTGTACCTTCATAGAAAGTTACATTTGACCGTACATTTGACGTTCATAGTCCACCGTGTAGAAATCAGTCAGGCGTGCTTCAGAATAGGAAAATTTTATTTAAGTTTTATACATAATCTTTTTTAATTGTTTTACATAATTATAGGCCGTATGCAGGTTGATCTGTTTCTTTCATCCGGTTGCTCAAACTCGGGGTCTACATTTTCAGTAGGTAAACTTGTGTGTTAACATTTAGTGAAACGAAAAGATAAATGTTTACAACATTAAACACCATACTTTACCTATAACAAGTATTTTTCTGTTTAACTTTCATTCACGCGTGTTGTGTTCGAGTTTTATTGATAAAATAAATATTTGTTTACATTTTTGAAAGCGTGTAAATTAAGGAACGAATTTACCGGAGCGTTTAATAAAAAACAAATTAAAAATAAAGTTATGCAAAATATTTACATTGAAAAATTTTTTTTATGAAAATAAATGGCGGCATGTAAAACTTGCTTGATTAATTTTAACAACGTTGTGAATCAGGATGACCTTGTCAAATTTACTAGAACTTCTTTTGAAAGATTTTTAGAATTTCGTCAAGCGTGGAAAAATTTAAATTGTATCCACAGAGAAGTATTCGTTAAAAATTATTGTTATTTTAGCGAAAAAGATGAAATACAACTTAAGCAACAACTTCTAGTTGTTTCAGATTCAATTCAGACCAATTTTTGATATCATCGCTTATGTTATCAAAGATTTACAAATAAAATTATTTTAGAAAGGGTTTAAAATAACTTAAAAAAAACAAAGATGAGCTGCAAGTATCTTTACAACAGGACAATAGTTTTTTTACTCGAGTATATTAAGCATTTTGATTCAAAAAGAGAACGTAAAAGGTTGCTATCTGTCGAACTCAATAGAATAAAATTATTATAAGTCTGCAAATTTATTAAGTTATAAGTCTGCAAATTTATTACCAAGGATTTGTCCCATCCGTAAGATCAAGTAATTCTTTTATTTAATAATTTAAGTAAAAAATTGATAAGGGTGTATAAATAAAAATAAATAAAAGAGTCGTTTACTCTGCTAAAAAAATAATTTTGATACATTATTTAATATTAAGTATTATTTATATAGGTTTTAATAAGAACTATTTATATAGGATATTTATATAGGTTTCTAAAAATATGGTATTCAAAAGTGTAACTCAACCATTAACTTCTAATGCCGGCAAGTTGCGACTCGCAGCTGAACATAAAAATGACTCAAATATTCTGTTAAAAATAGGTAGCAATGAGCAATGCGTTTCTAGAGATTGTTCTGCTATTGAAGTAAGTTATCATTTGCGTTGCTACAAAAGTTATGTAAGGTGTGTTCAAAATGACAATGTTACAAAATCAATAACTTCAAAAACTCTCATTTACAAAGATTTATATGATTTGTTCTGTAAAGAAGTAATTATAGATTGTTTGTTTAAAGAAAGTGAAATAATTACCATGCCACGTTTATACAAAATATTTTTGCGATATGTAAGAAACAACGAGGGCATAAATGCATCTTCTTATAGAAAATACAGACTTAAAAAACGACTACGTAAAGATTATCCAGATCTATTATTTCATAGGCGTGAAACAAGAAATAAAAGTGAAATTATTTTACATCACAAACTTTCAGCAGGAAAAATTGCAAAAAATATGATTATAAGTCATAATACAGTAACATCTGATTCACATAGTGACATGGATGAATTAGTCAAGCAACCTGTTAACTACGAAAATCAACTGTTACATATGTATAAAAGTGCTGCTAGTTTACATGATGAAATCCGAAATTGTGAATCATTTGAGTATGAGTGGCCACCAACAGCAAATGACTTTAATTTACAAAATTGCAAGAAAATGGTTCCAATTAATCTATTTAATCATTTAAGTTGGATGTTAGGATTTTCTAATACAGCTCCTGATCATTTTGATATCAAAGGAGAAAGAGCAGTGTGTTTTGAACATTTCACAGGATATAATCTATGCTGCTTCAACTGGTCAAAAACAGACAGTAAAACTTTAGCCCTTGGAATGGCAACCAATCGTCAAATCACAGTTTCTAAAGAAATGATTGACATTTTAAATGGGTTCGGACATTCTGCATCCTATGATACGATAGTCCGACATGACACTGCATTAGCAACCTTAAATTCAACACTTATTGGGACAATTTTACCAAACAAATATGCATTATGTAAATTGTTTAAAAAATTATTCAATACTTGGTGTAATGCTGTAAAAATATTCAACGATCATAGAAAAAATGTTGACGGATTACACATCAAGTCAATGCATTATTATAATCTGCTTTTAACTAGAGCTGAAAATAACACTTTTCCTATTGAAGTATCTCTAGGTATATCTAGGAAATAGCGTATAGAAGAAAAAAAAAACTTGAATCAATTGTTAAGACTATAAGTATTTTTAGGTAGAAATGATACGCCTCTGCGAGGTCAAAGAGACAATAAAAAATATCAAGGAAAAATTGGGAAATCTTCAAAACAGGGCTGGATAATTTTATTGACCTTTTCAACTTTAAAGTTAATGCAGGTGATTTAATTCTAAAGGAGAATCTTCTCTCTGCCTTAAAAAATTCCACATATATTTCAAAGACCATTTAAAACGAGTTAATTGAGTGTTGTAGAAATGAAATTGAAAAAATTTTATTAAATGATATTTAAAAAAATACACCCTAAAGCATTAATTATCCACTGTACCTTTCATAAACTTAGTTTAGTTATTGAGAAAAGTTGCCAAATCCAGCAAGTAATAAATTTGCTTGAGTAAGTAAAAGCATAACTTATTTTTTTAACTTTTCTCCTAAAAGAAGTGATTGCTTAAAAAGATACCTACTTCCTGGTCAAGCAAAACTTATTGACACATGGCGAACTCGGTGGGTACTAAAGCTTTGTGGGCTTGATGTGTTTTTTGATAATAATTCTGCAATTTTTTCTGCATTTAAAAAAACGGAAGACAATAACTTAAAAGGTACAATAAAGAAACATCTTTAAAAGCATTATATTTTATGAAGTTATTGACAAAATTTTCTATAATAGTTTCTTTAGTTTTAACTAAACAACTACTGGATTACTATACTGGAATTTCTATCACTCTTTTAACTAAATCTTTTGATATTTCCCAGCAACTGGATGAAATTCAAAATTTGACTAACCGTTTAAAAAAAATACAAAGAAATGTTGATGGTTACCACAACAAATGGTATAAAATTGCTCCTGCATTGGCTAAAACATTTGATATTGGTGAAAAAAAACCTAGAACAAGCGGTGTTCAGAAGCATAGAGATAATCAAATATGTGATACTGTTTCAGATTATTTTAAAGTTTATATTAAATATATTATTATTCATCTTCTCAATGAAATAGAAAATAGGTTTGATATTGAAAGCTTAATCATTTACAATATTCTATGCGCTGTTCCTGCTAGTTTAACAAAGCAATATTTTAGATCTTGTTCACGGAAAGGAAAACTCCTAATATTTTTGAATTGTTATAAATCTTATATTTCTCATTTCTCGTCAATTGATGCTGAATTAGAGTAATGGGAGGAACTTTGGAGAGAAAAGACAGAGTTATCATATACTATTTCAAATACAGTTTATAGATATGAGAGGCTTTTCAAACATTTTATAGGCTTTTCATATACTTGCTACAATATCAATCATACTTTCATATTTGTGAGTATGAAAGGTCAATATCTACTTTTAGGAGAATAAAAACTTACACTATAAGTACAAGGTCAGAAAATAAATTGATTAGGCGTGCTTTATTTTCTATTCATCAAGAAATAGTTCCTGATATTAAAAGATTTATTGACATATTTGCATCCAAAGGAGACAGAAAATTAGTTTTTATTCAAATAAAACTGCTGGAGTTATAGTTTAAAAATTTAACTATTGTTTTAAATGTATCTCTTAAATTTGAATAATTTCTCAATAGCAAAATATTTCGAGTCTATGTTTTAATCATGTTAATTCTGAAATCATTTTTTACTAGCAAATTATTACGATTCATTGTTTTATATAAACTGTGAAACTCATATTTCATTTGCTGTTTCTATTTATTCTCAATGTTGAAAGCGTTTTTAAGTGATTTAGGTTGTTACTTTTTTAGTTATTACTTTATTTGTTGCATTATATTTTAAAATTTTTAAAGAAATTTTTAAATGAAACTCATTTTATGTGCTGCCATTCAGGAAAAGTTGTATTAGCCCCTCTTTCTCTATATCCACCATTGTTGACTAATTTAATGACAGGAAACCATGTTGATCATGCTGTTAATCAAAAAAATTTTAAACATATAAGGAGTTATAATTCCTCTTTATCTTTTGCTTTCTTCACTGCCGAATTAAGTCCTCCC